ACTATTCAGACAACTTAGTGTAGGTGCCGGCTGTTGCTGCAGTCTGACCCGTGGGGTCTGTCATTGAGGTGTGAAGTGTGCAGACTAGTTTCACTTTGAATATGTCGCTCGCTGTTTGTAGCTCCAGGTTCTCATTGTGGGCACTTGGGAGAAATGTCCCTTAGTCACTGGCTGTCAGTAAGTGCAATGTTGTGTCTTTCACTAGTGGTAAAGCCAGATTTTTTTTTTTTTTTTTAATTATTGTGATTTGGCTGAAAATTTACAGAGCAAATTCACTTTCCATACATACCGCAGTTCACACACACTTTGTCCCATGACATGGATCACAATTTACCACAATGCAACAGCTCCCCTTCCACTTCCTCCTGATAGTCACCTCTTCCCTGTGTCCATCCCTCCATGCTCTCCTGCCCCCTGAGCTGTCTCCCTGTCCCTACACAGCCCTTCTATTCTCCCATGATCGATCTCTCCAAGGAGTGTATCTACCTAATGTAAATGTTCAGCTCATATGCCTGTCTTTTGCTTCGCTGGAAGCCACAGGTGTGGGTTCAATTCCAGACCTGAAGGGCAGCTAGGGACCACAGTCTCAGTGGTTCCATCAGGAAAAGCCATATTTTTGATGGATCAATTATCCATATAGGCTAGGGAAAAATTAACGTAAATAGGAAAAAAAATGTTCATTTTGAAACTCTGTATTTGGCCTATGTTCAACTGCAGTAGCCAGTAATCACATATTTCTAGATTTCCTTTGGTGAGCCCAAGCTTGCCTAGTCCAGAGGCAGAGTGATGTCAAGGAGCTCAGACAGGCAGATGGTCCAGCTCATCCAACTGCAAGTTCAGTATTCCTTGGGTGCAGTTTTATAAATTGCTAGGCCAGGCAGAGGAAGAATCAAGACGTTTTTTCTGCTTTTCCTGCCGACCCGGTAATCACCTCCAAATTACCGGTACCTCTGGCTGAATCTGGTTTGGCTCCAGAATTCTGGAATGTGGACCAGAATCACGGCGGGTGAAGCCCAGAGGGTCTGGCTAGAGTCTGGTGCCCCAGGCCTGCTGGTCTTCCTCCTTGCTGGATCTCATCAGAGAATATACACCCCATGGTTTGCAGGGAGTACGCTCCCTGGGCACAGAATGCAGGAGAAGTGAGCTGAGCAGGGGCAGGGGGGCCTGGGTGAAAGCAAGAGCTCGGGTGGATCTGAGCACACATTGGCAGCAGAGAGGATATTGAGCACCAGGCGTGGTCGTTCCAGACAGGTCAGTGCAGGAAGGGTGCTGTTAGGTCCTGCCCCAGGCAGAGGTTCCGTCCTTCGGACTTTTCCTCCCTGTTCAGTAAAATAAAAATGAAAAATATAATAATATTGATGATTCAGTGTCAAATTCTAGGCAATAATATCTTATTGGGTCTGATTAGCAACATTTGAAATCAACAACTACAAGATCTAGAAGGCATCTGAGGGATCACCTGGTCCAGTCTCTTCCTATTTCTGGGGCAGAAACAGGTCCAGAGAGGTTAAGTCACTTGCCTAGGGTTGCACAGCAGGTCAGTGCACAAAGACCCCAGGACTTACTGCTTGGTCCTACGTACTTTACTCTGTATTCTCACTTAGTTGGGGGTTTCACGTGTAGTGCTGGCAGCTGCTGAAAGGCAATTCTGTCCTGAATTCCATCCTGCCCTTGGAGAGCATATGACGTTAGGTTCACCAAAGAGGCAGTGGCTGTGTGCCTCGGAGTCAATGCCGACTCATAGCTTTGGGACAGACTAGAACTGCCCCACTGATTTCCTAGGCTATATTCCTTTTTTATTTTTATCTTTTTTAAATAAAAGAGAAAAAAGTAAAAAAAAAAAGAAAAACAAACACTCCTTTTTTAAAAAAACTTTCCTCCAACTAATAGTGTATGTGCTGAGAGGAGATGCAGGCAGGTCCCTGTGACCCCAGTCATGCCAGCACCTTCACGTATCCTGAAGACCACTCCCTTCCCTCAGACTTTGTTCCCATGGTTTGTTACATCACAGAAGAGCCAGGGCTTCCAGACTCCCCGGGTGCTACGTGAGCTTGTTGAGAACAAAGGAGGCAAGGCTCTGAGCCGGAGCTGATTTTGCAGGTTCCTGGAAAGTCAGGCCTGAGAACTAGAACCCGCCTAGTTCCAGCCCTTCCCCATTTTGTGACTATGGAAACTGAGAGACAGTGATGCTTCCAAGGCTCGGCAGCCGTCATCATCATCACCACCGTCCTTGTTCGTTCAGCATATTCTGTGCGTCAGGCCCTTCAAATCCAGTAGCACATTTGGTCATTGCAACAAAATTTGAAGGTGGTTTTATTATCGCCATTTTACCAGGAAGAAAACTGAGGCTCGGTGAAGTAGCTTACCCCAGATAACTAAAGTAAGTGACAGAACTACATTATATCACAAATCAGGGGCCAGGACGAAAGTAGGATTGAAGTAGCTGGGCACCGTCTCTCAAAACCAAACCAAACTCACTGTCATCCAGTCGATTCCAACTCACCACGGCCCCCATTGGGTTTTCAAGGCTGTAAATCTTTACAGAAGCAGACTGCCTCATCTCTCTTCTGCAGAGCAGCTGGTGGGTTTGAACTGTCACCCTTCTGGTTAGCAGTCAAATGCCTTAGGCACTGCACCACCAGAGCTCCTTTGAAAGCCTTCTAGGAAAGCACAAAAAGAAAGACCTAGTTAAGACAAATGCTTCATCTCCTGACTCCTAAGTAGCTGTACAGTAACCACCTGGCTGCCAACAGTTTTCTTCTCCAGGCATGTGAAGACGCTGTGGCAAACCTAGGATTCCCCTGACTAGTCTGTCATTGAATAATATTTAACAACTGTTTATAGAAGGTCAGTTATGTACCAGTCACTGAGGTGTTGGCGGAAACATGGGACCAACGCATAAGTATCAGTAGACCACCAATCAGAGTAAAGCAGAATGGTTTGTAAAGATTTCAGGAAGTATCCCATGGGCCCATGGGCTACCAGTTAGCAGCATCCGACGTGCTAACAGCCAGGTGGTGTAGGACTCGAAGTCAGAGGGCCCGTGTTTAAGTCTTAGGTCTACCGCTTAATACTTGTTTAACTTGGGAAAGTGGCTTAGCCTCTCTGAGCCTCAGTTTCCTCCATCTGCTAAGCGAGGATTAAAAATCCCTGCTCCATGCAGATCCACTGAGAGAAGGGATGCGGAAACAGGCTTGGGTGCATCCCTGGGATGTGCATGTTTACATAAGAGCTTCTGCGTATCTGTTAAGTCTCTGTGTTGTTGTTGTTGTTGTTGTTATGTGCTGTCGAGTCAGCCC